TGTGTATTATTTTTAAATGAAATATGAGTTCCAGTGCTTACAAAAGTTATACACAATGCAAGTGAAGACAGCTACTCCTTAAAGGACGGTCGCGATTTATTGCCTAACCCGACTGCTATAAAAGAAAATTTGCTCAAACAACAGAGATTTGAGGATCACTCACTCGCGCCTACATCCGGCTAATGGTAAATGAGCTCCCGAGGAGAAACCGGAAACCATGCATAGACATTTCACACCTGGGTGTACAGTGGTTGATGCTAGGGACGTCTCTTGTAAGAAATGCTCATGAAACTTAGTGATCTTCATCAAGCTGGCTCATCCTCTCCAATAAGCCAGCTAAAGTAGGTGAAATTATGTGCTAAAGGAGAGACGTAACTACACTGCCAACGACAATGACTTACTTCTGGTGGCGGTTCCGTGTCATTCACCCAAGAAGCATCCGACCCCTTCATCTGAACAAGTTGCGAGTAAAATACAGGTATCGTCAGCTCCGGGTCGTCTTTCACAAAGTAAACCACATCACCCGAATGTACAGTAGGAACAAAAGGTGCGGGTTCGACCGAAAGGGCAGGAGCAGTGTGAGAATTATCCTCAATTTGCTCCGTGGTTACCGCCGGGACATTATCCGAAGTGGGAGTGACTTCGGAATCCGGTTCCATCTGATTTTGGATCTCAACACATTCTGCCCCAGCAAGGGCAGCCACATCCGTATCTGACAGGCATGGATTGGCCGAATCTTCATCGGGCAGGACAGTTTGTTGCTTGGCATGCTGTTTACGCTGCTTCGAACTGGCTTTGGTTTTGGTCAGGCAGGGTGAGTTCGGCAGAACGACCACGTATAGTGGTGTAGCAACAGGACCAAACGTTTCATAGATCTGGTGTAGGGAAGAGAAGTGAAAGGCAGACAAGGAATGTAAGCAAATTAACAACTAGGGTGATGGAGAAAAGGCTAGAGCAGAAGGAGCGCACGTTTGCAGTCTGGAAAAGGCGTAGTATTTTGGTTCAATGTGCACTGAGGCTAAGTTAGATGAAGTCGTTTGCAACATTTAATTAGGAGCGACTTAATGAGTAGAAAATAAAATAATGGGTTGGTGTGTGGGCAAGAAATTAAAAAACAATAACGATAAAAACGAAGACATGTTATGAATGTCGGTTAGTTGGGATTGTTACTAAAAACGGAGGAGACAGTCGGTATGCTGACTTGTCATAGAAAGATAACAAAATGGAAATCGTTACAATGAAACACTCAGAGAAGGTTCAATTTCACCAACCGGTAGGATTAACATTTCAAACATTCTAGTTATCAAGTACTTGTGAGTACATGTATCAAACATCCTGAGGTCTTGACGACTGAAAAAGCACGGTTTTCATTACCAT